GTTGTCGCTCAATTCCTCTCGCTGGCCGAAGACACACGCGTCGAAATGGACCCGAGGCTGGCGACGACGCCGCTTGCGCCGGTGACGATTCGCCGCCTGCACGATGCCGTGTATGCGCTCCAAGCGCTTGTCGGTAGCCGCCAAGCCGAGATTGCGCAGGCGCAGCGCCATTACGCTCTCCAGCGCGCGCTTCGTCTCACTCGCGTGCGCGCGGACGACGCGGCGCACAAGTCGACGCTTCTCACCGAGGCCATGGCCCGTCATTTTCGAGCCAACGAGCGCCTTCTCATGTATGAATTCGAGCTACAATAGCGGTTGCAATCGTGCGATGTAGGTACAAGGCGGAGATGGAAACCAAGGAGCTACGGCGCGCCGAGCAGCGAGCGGCAGGGACGGCCCTCTACCGCGAGATGCAGCGCGAGCGGCACGCGGAGGAAGAGAGCTGCCTCGCCATGCACATGCAGGAGATGGAAACGCGCCACTACATCGCCGAAGACGTGCGTCAATGTGAACGACACGACGCACGCCTCACGCATGGTGTAGCGCTGGCGGTCAGCCGACAAGCGCCGTCGACTCGGCGAACTCGACAAGGTGGAGGCGTGGCAGCGCGCGCAGGACGACGCCGCCGCGGCAAGAGCCCAAGAGCTGGCGAACGAGCTCTTGGCGCATCAAGCCGTTGTGCACGCGGCTGCTGCGCGCGAACGCATCGAGCGCGAGCACGCGTGGCTCGCCAAGTCCAAGGTGCCAATTGAATTTATGACCCGCAACGATAGTACGCTCCGTGGGCATAGGACGATGCCGCGATCCAGCACGCTCGGATGGCGGCCCGAGAGGCAGCCCGAGCCGCAGAGAAGGCGGAGCGTAAAGCGCGCAAGCTCCAGACCATCCAAGCCCAGCAGCAGCGGTGCGGCACCAGCGTGGTATTCGAGAGCTCCACGACTATTTTATGGTCTAGTGCCCGCGAGCTGGCCGCGGCGCGTGCGATCAAGCACCAGGAGCTGGCCACCGAAGAGGCGGCGCGCGATCACATGCTCGCAGAAGACATGTACTGTAGCTTGCGTCGCTGGTGGTCGTTGATGGCCGATGCAATGTACAGGCTCATACGCCGCCTGATCACCGAGCAGAAGAAGCGGTTCGAAGCACAACTGTGGGCGGCCCAGCGCGAAGCTGCGCAGCGAGCCAAGCCCGATCCGCTCGCTCTCGATCCCGCCGTCTTGCCGCTACGACAGACAGTAGA